GCATCAAAAAAGCGCTTTGCTTTTTCGAAAGATAGCGTCCACACTGAATAGACGCTATCTCACATTTTAGCTGTGATTACTATGGCCACCAGGGCACCTGTGTTTTTTCCTCTTTCCTCTGCTTTGGAAGAACTCCCTCTTCTCCCTCCACACACCCCTTTTTCCGAAAGAGCTCTTTCGGAACAAGGCTTCTTCCTCATAGAAAGAGGTTTACCAATGTCAGAAAAAACCCTCTGTTCTTTTGATTTTTTTTCGAAAGAACACGATTACAGCGTGGATGTAAGTTCAGAAAAGCTGCAGTGTAGACATACCCCAAGGCACTTAGTAGTTCTCCCTACTCTGTAAGAACGTGGTTTGTGGCAGTCCTGAAGTTAAAAGGGAATGGTAATGATTTAAAGAACATGTCATTAAAATACAGTTCCCTCTGATAAGTTATAGAAGCCAGCTGAAATCTGGCCAAGTGGATATAGCCTGACATTTGTACAGGAAAGAATGAAATCACACATAATACAGGCTGCACAGCAGCACCTTAGGGAAGGCTCTAGTGCTGAGTGTGATAAAACTGAATGCAAAATAAAGGCATCTTATATTGGGCCATAAGTCTCATGGATGCTTCAATAAGAAAGGAAATTATCCACCTCTACTTGCATCTGGTTCATTTCTCCCTTCCTGGAACACTGCACTCACGTTTCAACAGCATAGTCCATTAATCAGCCTAGCCCCAACAATTGCCTTTTAAACCATACTGACTTCCACCAGCTGAGAATCTGGGTCCACGTTATTAGAGAGTAAAACTAGCGAGTGACCCCAAAAGGCAGATGAGCAGAACTGAGAAAAGGTTGGAAGAAAAAGACTTAATAGGAAAGATCAAGAGAACGATATATTCACATTATCAAGAGATACTGATGGTTCTATACTGAAAGGCAGCCCTTACATAGGGAGCTAGATCAAAGAATTCAGTATTAGTCACGGAGGGTAGGTGATCACAATGTCATGCTGCACTCTAACCGGCTTATAGAACATACTTACCAGAGGAAGTATGTATGAGCACAGGACTGGGAGCCAGGAATTCAGGAATATGGCTGCAACAGGCTACACTGTTACCTAACCTATCGCAAATTTGCGATGTATGAGCAAGTTTTCACTCTTTGGAAGATGTTGTGTTGTTAGTTTTGAGTTATGCAAAGCGGCCTTTGTGTAGAGGCAGCTTTAGGAGACGGCACTGTGCAAGCCTCAGACGAGCCTGCAGTCTCCCTTGGGCTCTGATTAGAGTCAATTCTTGAGGCACAGATGCTCCAAGGAAACCCAGGCATTGGAGTGGAACTGAGATACATGGCAGAAGGATTGCCCTGCCTGGTGTCTGACCATTTCCTTTCAGGACTGTTGTGTGCATGCAAATAAAGCCAAGTTACTCTTAAGAGTCTATCTAGACTCGTCACTAATGTCTCCTCCCCTGGGGAGCAGAACTGTAACATCTGTGCTTGCTCTGGAGTGGGGCCACTCTGGTGTTAGACGGGAACAGAACTATTCTATCCATTTTATACCTGGGGAAGAGAGGCAAACGTTTGCTCAACCCTACAGAGGGCATCACTGTCAGGATGAGAGCTCATTCCTGGTGCACTGAAAGCCTACTGATGAGGCAGGCTAATTATAATTATAAAATGTTTTGTGAAAATAAAAAAAAAGGCCAGTTATGAACATATGACCAGAGGAGGTTTCTTGGTTGAGCAATATGGTAGCTAACTTTGTCACTGTAATGGTATCGCCCATTAAATGCAATACAGACGTAATTTCATTTCCCAATACCAGTCCAGTAACTCTTCTGCATTTTGGGGGGAGAAAATTATTCTCATGCTCACTTTTCTGCTCTCTCAGGAACGGAGATGAATTAAAAGGAAAAAAGCTATAACTTCCCAGGAACAGGAAAAGGGACTACTTGCAGAAAGAGGAAAGAAGTTCCAGAAGATGAATGTGTTGCTTTCTTGTAGAAGGGAAAATGGCCGACCTCGCTGGTGACATCACAGATCTCTAGAGCAGTGATTTGCAAACTTTTTTTTCTCACGACCCAGTTGAAGAAAATAGTTGATACCCACAACTCAATATAATTTGACTAGAGTGTGGTCTGTGGGGTGAGGCAGAGGATGAGAGTTTTGGGGCTTAGGAGGTGGTTCTGGGTTGGGGAGGGGGGTCAGGGCTGGGGCAGGAGGGACTTACCTCGAGAGGTTCCTAGTTAACAGTGCAGTGGGGGGGTTAAGGCAGCTTCCTGCCTCTCCTGGCACTGCAGACCATGCTGCACCCCAGAAGCAGCCAGCAGCAGGTTTCCAGCCAATACAAGTGTGGCACCAATGCTTGGAACAGTGCATGGAGGCCTGTGTGTTCTCTCCTACCCTCCCCCTACTAGGAGCTGGGCTTACTGCTGGCTGCTTCTGGGGCGCACAGTCTGCAGTGCCAGGACAGGCAGAAAGCCTGCCATAGCACCCCACTGGTCACCAGACCCTCCTGCAGCAACAAGACCCAGTGCCCGACATTCCATGAGCCAGTCCTGGGTTGCAACCCGTCATTTGAAAACCACTGCTCTAGAGTGAGGAGAAAGAATAGTAGGTGCCACACTGGTGTTCATACACCACGCTGATGGACATGGTATTAAAGAGCAATTCCTATAAAACTTAAGGTCTAGTGACTCGAGAACTACTGGATCCCCCACATTAGGACTTCCCTGCAATGGGAGAATCCCCAGATGAGAGAAAGCCAAGACAGTCGGATCCTTTGTTTTAGTCCCTGACAGAGGAGGCGTGTCAGGGAAAAGGGAAGCTTAGCAGTTATAGGGAATGATAGCCAGTCTGCACAGAATAAAGCATAATAAATGATAGAATAAATACTTCTGCCCAAGTAGAACCTGGTGTAAAGACAATCCTAGTACCAGACAGTCACAGCCACCTTCTCTGCAGCCTTATCTCTGATAGACCCAGCAGATGCTGGCCATGGCTGTAAAATTAGGTCCTTGTGGTGTGCTGAATTACATGGAAATAAAAACAAGTTACAAAGACAGGCTAGAATTACAGTAGTGTTTAATATTCTGTTTCTCATATTAGTTTTTTCAGAGACTGAACAAAAGACAAGGGAAAATTTCAGCCATCATCAAGTACCCAGACTTCGTAACTTAACACAGTGGCCCTCCATCTCCGTGGGCTGCAAGATTGTTATAACCAAGAAAGTCTCCGAGGATAGGGTAGTTGTGCTCACTGTGACCACGAACCTAAATTTTGCAGGGTGTGTCAACTGAACCGTAGCAGTGCTTTGACTGGATGCAGAGGGCGCTCACAGATCTCATCAGTCAATGGTGTGCGCAATCAGCATGCACCTCACCTCATGAGACCTTCCCTTACATGTGCTTCTCTTTAATCATAATGGTAGAAAAAAAGCCTACATGGATGAAGTCAAGTATAATCTGGTAACCTGCGCCTGGGCAGCAGTAAACAAAATGCCTCACAGGCCCCCCACATAGAACACACGTGCCTGATGGGCCACAAGCTGCTCACCACTGACATAGAGAATATTATCTTTTGTTTCTATAACAATATTTCTATTAGCCCAGCACTACTATAGGTTATGTGTGTTAAAAAATAAAAGTAGCAGCTGATTTTTCCATCTATTTACAATATTTTATAAAATTATATATTCCATTTTATCCTGCACTGATATAGATACAACTATTCTGCACACGCACATGGTTCTACAAGTTACACATATTTCCTGAAAGGAAATGACTAGGAAGTATAAGCCAAATGGAATACCAGACCACAGTACAATGGCACTTACAGTCAATTATTTTATATTATCTGCATGACAGCATATGGTGCCTTCATGTAACTTAAAAATAAGCTGAATTATTTTCTTAGGTATGGTCTGACCTAAATAATAGAAGTCCTATTTGTGATTTATTTCTCTGTGTTTTATGGAAATGTTGTCTTCCCCCGTTTCCCCCCTCCCCCGCCCCGAAATACTGAAACTACAAAAGAAAGAGACAAAAAAGAACAAAAAAGGAATAGGAAGGGAGGGAAAGGAGAGGCAGGAAGAGGGACAGTGATGGAAAAGGAAACAAACGTCTCAGTTTCCATCCACTTTGAATTAATCAAAAGTTTCTAAAATGTCAGACAATCTTTTCAAATGTGTCTTCTCCAAAACATTATCCGCGCTTTAGCTGCCAGGTCAGCAAAGTTGCTGTGCCAAGCTGCTACCCCTAGATGCAGTCTGCTCCTCCAGCTCAGTAGTATCAGTCATGTGTCTACAATCAGTGCTCTAGAGAGCCAAGCGTCCTGTTTCCAAGATAATCATCTATATCCCAAAACACAGCTCTTGGACGTAATTATCAATTATCCAATATCATATCAATCCTTAAACCTTCTTTTAGTCAAAAGGATTGAATCCTGGGACAGTCCCAAAACATGCTAGTCACTATGGTTCTGAAAGACAAGCATGGACAAAATATGGGGGTTTTTTTCTATCAAATCAGCTTTAATTGTAGATCAACAGTAGAATTTGTAATGGCTTACAAAGCACTTCCCCACTGGCTAAGGTTCAAGTCCATACACAAATCTTTGTTCCATGCCTGGTGCAGGCCATGTAAATTAGGGAGGATCTTTGTGGCCCTGAAGTCATAACTGTCTAAGATATCTAGGTAGTCCTGGTTAACAAGTGGTGTTGGGGTGCGGTTGTTTGCATAACTTCAACAAATGTTGCTGCCACAAACAAGCATATAATATATTGAAGTTAACTTGCCAAAGAGAACTACTGCAGGACTGGTTCCCTTCCTAAGTACTTGGCAGATCTCAAATATTCTACACTTGCTTTTTAAAGGAACACTACTTCTTAAAGTTGCCATAACTGGAAATATCCAAATATCTCGGCACATCAGCAGTCAGTGTAAGTGCTATTAGGGAGAGTCTGCATTTTAAACAATGCTGCACAAAAAATATATATGCAGCAGGAATGAAACCTCCATCACTAGAGATATTTAAGAGCAGGTTGGATAGACACCTGTCAGTGCTTGGTCCTGCCATAAGGGCAGGGGACTGGATTTGATGACTAGAGTTCTAGTATTCTATGATCTGGCTCCCTGTATAGAAAGTTACTTTGAATTTACAGTAATTCTATCACTTGGGATAAATCAAACAATCAAATTTAGAATATTTCCAGATGACAGTTTCCAGCTGTCAAGTAGTCAAGATATCAGGATTATTATTTTGTAGGATAATATGTATCTACCTTTAAGAACTAGGTCAGATTGAATTTCTGGGCCATACTCTCTCTGCTGGTTCAGCTTCACTGAAGTCAATTTACCTTAGCAAAGAATTTGGTCCATATCCTGACCTTTCATTACAAAGTTTGTAAAATGTAATCTCCAAGGTTTAAAAATCCAGTGACTTCTCTACTTAGTCTTCCAGGTCCTGGCTGATGATGACAGAGTGCAAACAGAAATTCCCTTTTGTTTCTATGTACTACAATAATGTAGTTACCACTGAAATAATTATACTAATAAATAAAAAATAACACTGATGCATTGAAGGGTGAAGTTGGAGTAACAAATTCCAAATTGGTAAGTTTTCCAACAATAATATTTACACACACTTGGAAAAGTTAAATCTATTCAACTTTCCAAATAGCAATCTTCCCTTCTTCTCTTCCTGAACCACTAAGAACATATCTATCTTCTGCAGAGCACAGTGCCTTCACCGTATCAGCATGGCCCACCAACTCCTTCTCCACAGTTTTCTTTTCGGCGTCTATCACATAGATCTTTCCCTTGGTTTTGCCATGTGATATTCCTCTGCTGCCAATCCATATCTGAAAAGCAGAATCCATTTTTAATGCATTACATTCCACTTCTGTTCTAGGATACAGTCTAAGTGTTTCAGCAAAGGAGCTGTTTTCTATGCCCCCAAAGACACAGTCAGTGGTACTCCGGTCAGGTTTGAAAATGGCAGCATTCAATATCTCTCCAGCTACTTGTTGGAGCCAACGGTTTGTATGTTTCTGTACAGGATGTATATTCACCGTGACATTTTAAATAAGGATTGCTAGTTAGAAAGAAGCTATTTAAGAATGACAAAATGGGAAACATTTTCTCTTTATTTTCTTGCTAAAATAAGGAAAACGTACAGCAATCTGTCTGATTTTAATTAAATGAATTTAGAAGCCTGTAGCAGACAGTTGTAATGCTATCATTTTCCATTGTTGACAGGTGGGTGGTCTCTTAACGCTGGTCCAGTCTGGCACTCCAGTAAATGCTATTTCCTTTTTACAGCAGGGATATGTGGGTATTACAGCTCTTATCATTGGCTCCCTCCTATTCCAAGAGAGAAAGAGCCACAGTGCTGCATTGCTGGCAGGCTTAAGACAGGATCACTGGATATTGAAAGTGGGAAGGTAGGAAGCTCATGAAAGTTTGCTGATTTTTTCCTTTTTTGTAGAAGGCAGCTGTACAATAATCCTTTGTACGGTGTTACTAGGCTATGAATGAGTGGAGGAAAAAAGGGATGCTGCTGCACACAGAGCAAAAGACAGCAAATGGCACCTGGTTTCTGAGTAATTCTTTACAGGCTGGTTGAGTATCCCAGTTTGTGGGGCTTTGTCTCTATGGCATCATTCTTTGTTTTCCCAGTAGGTCCTGGCTCACCAACCTGGCCCTAGTGGCAGAGCAGCTAAATATGCAGAACAGCTTCCCAACACCAGGGGAGCTCTATGAAGGGAGTTTACATTCTCTGGAAGAAGGATGGGGAGGTTGACGGGTTATTTCAGAAGGGACTGGAGTTACTGTTGAGGAATATTTTTGCTATGATTTAAAGAAATAACCTTTGTCTCTGACCAAATGGTGCACGTACTCACAGCAGTTGCAGACTTCTGAAGGTGACTGGTATATTGTGAACAGAGGGCTGAGCGACATACTCAGAAGATTGTGATATGAGGAACTGCTTGAGTTCTCTCATCCTGTTATGGTGAGCACATGATGATTAGATAGGAAGAGATCATCTTCCAGATACTGGCCAGCTAATCAGCATTTATTATTTTTCCCATGGTCTTTACTTGAGCATTATCATTGGCACATAAGGCATTAAATGTCAAGGGACCTAAGCTTTGGTTCACACTGTTCAGTGAAAAAGTCAGGGCTAATAAAGTCATCATGCAATTAATCATGTCTGGCTGGCATCACTTATATGTTTGAGAATTAGACAGTCAATTATGCTGGGCTATTAGCTCAGCTAACTCCACAGAGCTACTCATGTCTCAGACCAACGTACATGCAAGCCCACAACGAAAGAGTTCAACTGATGAAAACTTGACAGTGCCGTGAACACAAACCACATTATATCTAGGAAATGGACAACAACAACAAAACATTAAATGATGGAATGTATTTTACCTGATTTTTTACTTTTATCATACAGGTGATCTCAGAACAATCATGAAGATGAATCTTTTGAGGAGTTCTGGAGAGATCGGTTGCATTCCAAACATACAGGTCACTACTCCCTGGACACGATGTCCATACCTGGTCACCCTAAAGCACAGACAGAATATGGCCAATCTTACCAATGTATTTACAAATCTCTTAAGAAATAATTGAAGCACACTGTTAATAAAACAGAGGCTCCGATAAGAAAAAAACAGCCTATGTTTAGTACCTCAGGAAACAACTGGAAACAGAGAAAAGAAGAACACACATCCCTCAGGTTCTCTTCAATTTTCATTTCTTGCCGAGGAGACCCATTAGTTGTCACTACAAGTATACGATTTCCTGTGCCTTCAATAATAAAATATGAAGTTAGTGTTGAAGTACTGACTTCTTATTCCCCGCTTCCCCTCTCCCCCCCCAAAAAAACTCTGTGAAGTTAGGCAAGAATAAAACACATACAGACAGAACCAGGGGATCACCAGTAGTATCTTTCCTAAAACACTCAATAAAAACTAGATATGGATTCTCTGCTCCCAACAGTCTTCTCACAGTATATGTTCTTATGTCTGCTCTGCAATTACAAGCATGCCACTCTAGGTGCTAAGAGAAAGGGAAAAGATAACTTGCTTAAATCACTATTGGCTCTGCCTGCACAAGTATTTTCTGCTATAGATCTAGGACAGAGATTTTTTGTACTGCTGAAGTAGTAGATATATGGTGGATCTAAGCTCTAGAGGTCTATGGTAGCACTGAATGTTAAGGTGTATCTATCCAATACTGCCTGAGATTTCTTGAACCAACATGTACTTGGAAAAGGTGGCTTATTGAGGACCTTTTGGCTCTGAAGCCAGCATATCCTACTCAGCTCCTACACAAAGATGACTGCCGAGACTATCAAATGGGAGGTGTGCTGTAACAGATGGGTGAAGCACAGATCCTCGACTTCTGACACTATTACCACTAGAACCTATATACTTCAGACAACTTGTTTTTTTAAGAGTTTCCATTCAAATTTACAGGCATCTTCATGTGAGACCAAGCCTCGTGCCTCTAGATGTCACATCCTCCAATGAAAGCAACATCCCAACAAATGTTCGATCCAGATGAGAGATGGCCATCCAGAGGCAACTCACATCCTCCCATACAGTAACACAGAAATTTTGTTTAATATGGCAATTCCTGCTATCACCTTTAAGACCCTGATCAGGCAAAATGTTTAATTTAAAGCAGAATAAGAATCCCAACAAACTCAATAGGACTTCTTTATGGTTATGTCTACACTACCCTGCTAGTTCGAACTAGCAGGGGGAATGTAGTCATCTGCAATTGCAAATGAAGCCCGGGATTTGAATTTCCCGGGCTTCATTTGCAATTGCAGATGACTACATTCCCCCTGCTAGTTCGAACTAGCAGGGTAGTGTAGACATACCCTATGTTATTTAAACCGTCAGAATGAAGACAGGTGGATGAAAAGTAACCATACAAAAATAAAAGACCTGGCAAGAAGTTACACTGTTCTTTACATTGAAGTGATATAATATGCAAAAACTTATTAAAAAATATTCCCATGAGGCATGAAGAACTTACAGCACCAAAGACGGTTGTCATGGAGTTTGATAGAAATAAGATTTTTGCAGGACAGCTGAAATCTACGGTTTACTTTCAAAGTGCTAATGTTCCAAGCAATCACTGTCCCATCTAAACTGCACGAATATGCTTCACTGTTGATGTAAAAAACAAAATTAAAAATAGCAAGATGTACAATCAAAACCAGAACTGGGAGCTCATACAAGGAAGAGAATATTGTTATCGCTCCCCCATCACAACAAACGCTGATGTCAAATCAAAGCAGAGATCTTTACTTCCAAAAGTAGAAGAAATATTAGATTAAAATAGAGCAATGAGCCACAATGCAATGTGCATTACATTCTGTAGCACAATAACACAGGAGTACTACCCGAGTCCCAGTGGCAGGAAGAAGGTGACTTTGGATCAGACTCTTGGGAAGCAGAAGTTAGGTTTGACCCGTGCACTTCTGCACTGTTAAGTTTACAAAATTATTGCCTTGGCTGCCGGGGTTAGGATTAGGGCAGGGTGAGGGGGTGGGGAGGGAGAGAAAGGGCCCAGGCTGGCACAGCAGAAGAGAGAAGTGACCCTTGCTGGCAGGGAAGAAGAGACCCTGGATGGTGGGGGGAGGGGGAGATGGGAGAGAAGGAACCCTGGAAGGACTGGGAGGGAGAATGGGCCCAGGATGGTGTGGAAGCGGGTCGAGGGAGAAAGGACCCAGACTATCAGGGGGCAGGAGAGAGAAGAGGGCCCAGGCTGGTGCAGCAGAAGGTGGGAGAAAGGGCCTGGGCTGGCGCGGTAGTGAAGGAGAGTGAAGGGGAGCCCAGGTTGGCACAGCAGAGGAGGTGGGAGGCGGTGGGAGAAGGGATCCTGGGCTGGCATGGTCACAGCCCGACCATCCCCAGTGGCTGGGGGGAGAGCCAGGGTTGCTTACGTGCTGCGAAATGGAGGTTGACGAGCATAGCAAGCAGGGGACGCAGCTCCCTAGTAAGGTTAAATGTAGTATCTTGTAGCTGACTGCTCTATATGGCCCCTTACACATACCTGCATAATTTCTCTTAAGGTTAAATTTAGTCAAGATGTTAATTAGCGATTAGAGGAAATAAACACAAATCATCTTGATCAAAATCTTCCCATATTTGTCCAATTTCTAGTATAAAGAATTCCACCCTGTTAGTTGAACTTTGTAATTAAATTCACCTGCATACACTGTTCCTGTTCTCCACAATGATGTCCGTAACATGAGAGCGGTGGTCATTTAGTTGCTTATTGCAAGACATACTATGGGTGTTGATTATGTAAATAATGGCATCTTGAGAACCGATCCATACTTGGCTCTGTTCCACCATTACCATACAAGTCTAGAGGGGGGAAAAGTGCAAGATTTCTTTAAAAAGTACAGTACAGCAGGCTATCGCACCTGGAAGACGCACACAAACATCTTATACCTTTCCAGTCTCCACCTTTCCAGACTGCCATTCATTCCCCGTTCAGGAATCTGATTTGTCTCGTGCACCCCCAAGATTCACTTCATTTAAAAATTACTTGCTTACAAAATCAGACAAAAATACAGAAGTGTCACTGCACATTAATACTGAAAAAATACTCTCTCATTTTTACCATATAATTATAAAATAATCAATTGGAGTATAAAAGTTGTACTAACATTTCAGTGTGTAGTATATCTACTATATATTTGAGAGCGTTGGTCTGTGAGTTTGTCTATGCGTCCAAGAACTCCTCCTATAACGGTAGGAGCTAGGACCACCAAAATCAGTTTACAGCTTCCTCTTACCACAACTTAAAGCGAGGTGTTGGGTTATGCCAGGAAGATTGTGTATCCGCATCTGGATACAGACACCCACAGATTTGCATGGCTCTATGCATCTGCACCTTCGCTCCCACTTCATGCTGCTGTTATTTACCGTCCACCCAACTCCTCCCACCATCCTTCCTTGCTGATGTAGTCTCCTGACATTCTCCATCCCCTTTCGATCTCCCAATCATCCTTGGTGCCTTCAATGTCCATGCTGATGACTCATACGACTCTACCTCACCTCTTCCCTGGATCTGTAGTTCCGGTTCAACTCTCCCAGTTATGAGAGCTGCTGACTTGGCTTGGCCTTCACCAAGCAATGCTCTAATTTCTCTAATGATGAGCTCCCCTTCTCAGACCATCACCTGATTTCTTTCCACACTGTTCATCTGCTCCCCTCAGTGACCTGCAAGGAAGCGTTTCTGTGTCTTGCATTAATGACTTGTCTTCTCTCAGCCCTCTTGCCTCTCTGCCCTCCCTTCCCTTCCTTTAGCCCCTTTAATACAGAGGTTGACTCTCCATGTTTCACTTTCCTTCACTTTCAACTCTTTAGCTCCTCTCCCATCTTCAAGTCCACCCTGCCAACACCCCAGCCCTGGCTTATCCTCAACATCAGCTTCCTCTGCTCCTGGTCTCTCACTGCAGAGCATCTCAGAGAAATCCCCTGACCAGGCTGCCTTCCTCAACTATGTATTTGTTCTCTCCTCATTCATTTCTCCCATCTTCCTAGTTCAGTGCTTTTCAAAGTTTTTTCATTAGAAAGCCCCCCCTCAAAATTTGTATAGAGGCACAGACCACTTGGAAAATGTAGGCATAGTCTGTCGACACACAGAGGTCCATGGACAACAGATTGAAAACCACTGTTCTGGTTAAACAACCCCACTTTTCCAACTTAACTGAGTAACATGCCTGCAATCTCTGCTGTCTTTTTGCCACGTCTGATTCACTCCCTCAAACCCACTCCATCTCTTGCCTCCACATTTTTCTCTGCACTAATTTCTTCCAAGAGAAAAGTAACAGAACACAAAATGATCATCCCCTCTCCTTGACTTACCATTCTCCTCCACTCATACATCTTACTCCTCCTTCTCCCGTTACAGATACAGAAGTTTCCTGTTTATTCTCCTTCAACCTCTCCACTTGCTCTCTCCTGCCACCTCTTCCCATCCCATCCTGAGATTCCCTTGCACCTACTCTCTTCCCCTCCCTTACTCTTCTCCTTGCCCTCTCACTGTTCTCTGACACTTTCCCCTCACAACACCACCAACGATCTAATCTGTTATTTTAGACAGTCCATCCTCAAGCCCACTTGCCTCACCAGCTACCACTGTATCTCCCTTCTCTCTTTCATCTGTAAGCTCACTGACCTGACTGTTTATAATCTGGAGTTTCTCTCCTCTAATTCCATCCCAGACATTCTCCAATCAGATTTCTGCACTTTCAGAGGCATCCAAACTAATAACAGTATATAGAGATATACCGATCTCATAGAACTGGAAGGGACCTTGAGGGGTCAGTGAGTCCAGTCCCCTGCCCTCACAGCAGGATCAAGTACCATCCCTGACAGATTTGCCCCAGATCCCTAAATGGGCCCCTCATGGATTGAGCTCACAACCCTGGCTTTAGCAGGCCAATGCTCAAACCACTGAGTTATCCTTTCCCCCCGCTTGTCAAAGTCTCTGCTAATCTTTTCCAAGACAAGGCTCAGTCAGAATGCCAGCCTTATCCTTCTTGCCTACTAGCCATCTCTGGCACAATTGACCAGGTTCCTCCTCTTGAAATCTTGTCCTTCCTTGGCTTCCATAACTCTCTCCTCTTCTGCTTCTCCTCCTTACCTCTCAACACACTCCTTCAGTGTGTCTTTCTGAGAAGCCTTCTCATCCTCCCCTCCCCGCTCCCCTCTCCAATTATCTGTGCGGATTCCTTAGAGCTCCGTCCTTGGTTCCCTTCTCTACTCCCTCTGGGTATGTCTACACTACCCCGCTAGTTCGAACTAGTGGGGTAATGTAGGCATACCGCACTTGCAAATGAAGCCCGGGAACTTCAAATCCCGGGCTTCATTTGCATAAGCGGGGCGCCGCCATTTTTAAAACCCCGCTGGTTCGAACCCCGTGCAGCGCGGCTACACGGGGTTCGAACCAGCGGGGTTTTAAAAATGGCGGCGCCCCGCTTATGCAAATGAAGCCCGGGAACTTCAAATCCCGGGCTTCATTTGCAAGTGCGGTATGCCTACATTACCCCACTAGTTCGAACTAGGAGGGTAGTATAGACATACCCTCTGTTCCTTATCTCTGTGTAACCTCGTCCAAAAACTCAATTTCAACTACTATCTTTATGCTGATGATTTACCAATCTACTTCTTTACCCCAGCCCCATCTCCTCCTTTCCTAACTAAAATATTGGTCTGTGTCACTGACATCTCCTCAGGGATTTTTAGCCAAAAGCTCAAGATCAATATGACTCAAAACAGAGCTTCTAATTTCCTCCTCCGCAGCCCTCTCTCATTCACTGCAGACAACACTGCCTGGCCTCTTGACTTGCACTTCTCTCTAGGTCAGGGTGGGGAACCTTTATGGGCTGGGAGCCAATGACCCACAGAAAAATCAGTCGGGGACCACACACAAGTGAGAAGCAAAAAAAACCAAAACACACACAAAAAACCCCCACACACCACAAAAACAAAAACCAACAATTGAAGTGGCCCCCGACTGCGAAGGAGAAAGACACTACCCACATTCCCCTCCTACACCAGAGCTTACAGGGGGGCCAGCCTGGTAGATGTTGTGTGCTCCAGCCCTGTGGTAGGGCAGTGGAGTGGGAGAGGAGGTTGCAGTGCCAGTGCCAGCTCCTCAGCTGCGAGGACCCTGAGCCTCAGGAGCCGGATCCAGGCAAGCTGGGGCGCCACATTTGGCCTCCGGGCCTTAGGTTCCCCACCTCTGTTCTAGGTCCTCATAGCCAGTCTACGGTATCCTTCTGCATAACATTTCCTTCTCTCTGGCCTTGGTAATGTAATCTTGTCCCACTCAGGCCCATTCAGAATGCTGCTATGAAGATTATTCTCCTAACTTGCTGTTTTGACCATGTTATCCCTCTTACTGCTTCTCTTTACTGGCTCCCTGTCCTCTATCACTTCACACACAAGCTCTTATCTTCTATTTCAAGGCCTTTCCTAGCCAGTCTCCACCCATCACCTCTCATTCACTATCAAGAGGTCAATTCCCCACCTGCAATCAGCTCAGATTCCATTGCCCACTTGTTACATCTTTAAATGTATTTGCACTTTCTCTTGTGCTGCCCCTTACTTGGGAGAATTTCCCTGTAAAAATCCACAAAGCTACCTCATTTTCCACCTTCAAAACTCTCCTTAAAAGTCTCCTGCAACATAAAAAGCCCTTCACAATTGGAAGGCTGCTGGTGTACTGAGACTACTGCCTATCATACTGACCAATACTCTCCCACTGTTTTCTTGTACTCTCCCCTTCTGTCTGTAGCTAGCTGTTGCGGTTTGTTTTATATTTTGATTGTAAAGCTCTCTTGCTCAGGGACCACCTTTTTGCTCTATATTTGTACAATGTCTCTCACAGAAGAGCCTTGGTCATGGATCAGGGACTTCAAAGCACTATGGCAATACAAATAATTCACGCTAATAACAATGTTAGTGTCGCTCACCAGTTTAGAACTGCCCACTTTAAAACAGTGTTGCTGAATAGTCCAGGTAGATGCATCAAACACAATCACCTTCCCCTCACCTAAAGCACACCATAATTTTGGATGGGCATCTCCCAGTCTATCCGCTGCATCAAGGTGCCCTAGTATTGGGGGGTGGGAGAGAGGAAGAGAAATAAACAATGTTATCAGTTACATTTGTAGAACAGGATATCAGTGCTCCCAGATCTACATTAGGTAAGCTACTGAGCTGCAACCACTAAATATCACATGGATTATAATCATCCCACTGTACCTTGTGCATCCTCGTGTCTCTTTATTAAGTCCACCTGTTTTGCATCTCATACTTGTAAGCTCTTCAGCACATAGATCATCTTTTTGCTGTATACTTGTAACATGTCTACCACAGTACAGCCCCATTCCCTGATTGGGGCATCTAAGTGCTAGTGCAATACATGGATCAGATAAAATATTGGCTATCGAATGGTTTCTGGGTAAAATTAAAGGTGTTATATTTTGACCTGCAAATCTCTAAAAGACCAAGGAGCCACCTACTTGGATGAATGCTTCTTTCCCTGCACGGGACTGCCACATCTGCAGGCAAAAGCAGCTCCAGTTGGAACCACTTTTAAAGCCAATCTCACAAAACTGAAAACAATTCTGAGCCAAATCAGCCGACAGAATTTAAATCAGAAAAATGAGAGTGATAAATGGGAACTGTTTAAGAACACTTTACTACACAACCAAAAAGCCAAGTCCCCCAGTTGAGGAAGGAGGTCTTCCCAGCTCTAAAACAAAACAAAAAACCAACCAAACAAAAAAACAAACAAACCACACCTGGCTTTCAGGAGAAGTGAAGCCAGCTACTAAAAAATTCTCTCCTACAGGAAGATGTTAAGTTAAACATTTTACAATCGGCAGGTCAGGGTTTTAAAAGAGATAGCTGAAAAGCTTGAAAATCAGCATTAACTGATTAGCAATCACTTGAAATACTGGGGAAATTCCAGAAGACTAGAAAAAAAAAAGGTACTGTTATGCCAATATTTAAAAAGATTACATAGGATGAATGTGTCATTATAAGCTTGTTAGTCAGACATGCACGATAATGGAGCAGCCAATATGGAAATCACTTATTATAGACTGGAAAGAGGGCAAAATAATTAATGCCAATCAACATGGATTTACAGAAAACAGCCTGTCAAATTAACTGGATACCTTTTTAAAAAATAAGATGACAATTTCGGTTGATACAAATAATAGCGTTGGTGTAATATACTTAGATCAGTGGTTCTCAACCTGTGGGTCAGGACCAGACAGTGGCTTGCGATCCTATTTTAGTGTAGTTGTCAAGGCTGGCTTAGACTTGCTGGGTTCAAGGGTTGAAGCCAAAGTCTGAGGTCCACCACCCAAAGCCTGAGAATCTCAGCCTTGTGTGTTGGGACTCAGGTTACAGGCACCTTGCCTGGGGCAAAAGCCCTTGGGCTTCTGTTTTGCCCTCCCCACTTCCTCCTCCCCCAGCTGGGGCAGTAGAACTTGGGAGGAGAGAAGTGCTCAGGCTTCAGTCCTCTCTCCTGGGATCACAGAGTAATTTTTTCAGTCAGAAGGGGGTCACAGTGCGATGAAGTTTGAGAACCCCTGAATAAGGCTTCCACAAGGCATTTTACTTGATTCTGGCATGACAGTTTGATTAAAAAACTAAAATGACATAATTTACAAGGCACACACTAAATGAATTAAAAACAGGCTAAATGATGGGTTTAAACAGTATGTAAAAGGGAGAGTCATTATTGCTCAAGTGTGTTTCTAGTGAGGGATCAGTTCTTGGCCCCACACCATTTAATATTTTTGTCAGTTACCTGGAACAAAACCAAACCATCACTAATAAAGTTTGCAGATGACACAAATATTGGAGATGTGAGAAATAAGCAAGACGACAGGACACTAATAGAGTATGATTTGGATTGCTTGGTAAGATGTGTGCAAGCAAACAATCTGCATTTTAATATGGCCAAAGGTATATATTTATATCTAGGAACAAAGAACACAAGTCACATATACAGGAAGGGAAACTCTATCCTGGGAAGTAGTGACTGTGAAAAAAATATGAGGCCAGACCTACACTAGACCTGGTAGGTTGGAGTAAGGTACACAAGTCCAGTTACGTAGAATACGTAGCTGAAGTCAGTTTACCTTAAGCCAAACTTGGTGCCATTCTCACAGTGGGAGGCCACCTGGAGCAAACACTCCCTGCTTCGACTGTGAGGAATACAGACACCAGCCAGAGCTGCCCTCAGCATTTGATTTACGAGTCTATACGAGATCTCCAGAGCAGCGAATGAAGACGTGCCCTGAGGTAATGGGGGGTAATTAACTTAACATGTGCTTCCAGTGCAAAACTATGGCCAAAAAAGCTAATGTAATCTTAGTTGCACAAGCAAGGATAGTAGGAACAGAGGTTATTTACCTCTTTATTGGACACTGGTACAACTACTACTGGAATACTCCGTTGATACATTGGAGAAGGTTCAGAGAAGAGCCATGAGAATGGATTAGAAGATTAAAAACGTGTTTTATAGTGACAGATTCAAGCTTAATCTATTATCTATCTTAAAAAAATTAAGGAGTGACTAGATTACAATCTCTAAGGGAATGTGTACACTAGGAAGTTATTTAGAAATAACTTATTTCGAAATAATAACTCCTCAAATAACTATTTCAAAATAGCATGTCCACCACACTACAGGGAAGCCTCAAAATTAGTCCACTCCCTTAATGTAGATGTGCTACCTCGACTTAGAGCCCCAGGAAGCACTGGGGAGTAATTAGTCTGAATGACTCTGGGGTGCAGTTATTTTGAAATAGCAGCAGTGGAACATCCACAGTACCACTATTTCAAAATAACAATTTTGAAATAAGCATTATTCCTCGTGGAAAGCTGGAGTTATTATTTCTAAATAACCAGTACATTATTTTGAAATACACAGGCTTGATATTGTGGACACTCTGCTTGTTATTTCAAAATAAGTGGAGTTACTTTGAAAAGTAAAGTGGAGTTATTTTGAAATAACTCCCTAGTATAGACCAAGGCTAAGGGTCTAGATAGGAAACAAATAAGGGGCTTGTCAATCTAGCAGAGTTATCACATGCTTCAGTGACTGGAAGATGAAGCTAGATAGATAATATTCTGAAAAATCAGGGTATAGATGTCTCAAATTGGGCACCCAAAATTAGTGAATACTTTTTCCATTAATATCTGTCAGTTTGCCATCTGTGAAACAGAGATAACAAGAATGTTGTGAAAGTAAAATTATTAGTATCCATGAAGCATTTCAGTAATATAGTAAAGAGCACCACAGGAAAACCCAGTGAGGGAATTCATAATTTTGTCTTCAGAATGGGTCCCACAATAAATAACGAAGATAAAACAACACGTTGAATAGTTTTTAATTAAGTAGACACCATCCGCCATCATGTGCATTCAGTCAGAAACAAATGTTATGGAAAAAATAGTATGTGATCATGTAATAGTATGTTATCCCCTATTCACAACAGGGATAAATAGAGGTTTCACAGGCAACCTTAATTTTGATATTTCTAACTTCTGAGTACCTGGTCTTTCAACCTTAATAATAATATTTTAACACAGATTTTTGTTTGCAATATATTAGAGAGACATAAAACAGCAGCAACATCAGACTACTCCCTCCACAAGTCATGGCACCAGGTGATTTTATGTATTGCATCTAACTTAAAGTGGACACATTTCAAGAATGAACTGTATCATGGTACCTGGGGTATAGAGCAAGACATCTACTGCCTGCGGAAAAGTTTCACCAGCTGAGGGATTAATCTTGTGCTTTAGTGTTTCTGATGTAGTTTTTGGGACCATCATAGGCACTGAAACACAAAGGTATTTTACAAGTTACAAAACTGCAAGTTTAAAGCCTGAAATTATATAAAACTCTTGTATTTTAGACTAAATCTGTTCCATTTATTCAGATTATGAGATTAAAAGCATTAACATTTTGTATTTCATTTAAAATGATGCCTTATGAAAAAATACTCTACAAAGGACATGAAAGAAAGCATCTGGGCCAACAGCTTGCATAGAATATCAGATTTCAGCTTCTTAGACATGACCCTTTCAACATAGGATTTAGAAAGAAAAGTTGAGGCCACTGTCTCCTGAAGCATTAACTGACCTTCATTCTTCATCTTGTCAAAATAAGATAGTTTGGAAGCTGCATAAATGGTTTTGGAGGTCTGCAGTGCACCAACTACAGCATCCATCAGGAGAACATTTGTCAGGGCTTGCTGAATATATTGAGGATCCTAAAAAATGAAAAAAATCTGATTTTAGCTTTCCTCGTAATCACTTTACTTACACAGTCCCATTCTCTCAATACTACAGTATTAGAAACACTCTACATATCTGACACTGTCTGATGTCTAAGCCACGTCTGTTCTAAAAAACTAATGCCTCTACCGTCAACCATTCTGTTCCTGAGCAAGGTCATCAAGAAGCTACCCAAAAGGTCAAATTCAAACTCATTTAATTGCAGCTGTTATTCTACACCTATCCTATCTAGATTCAGGTAGGGACATGGACGTAAAACTGATTTAGAGGCACTGATGAATAGTCACCTGCTATCCATAGATCATGGACAGACATCCATTTTTATTCTTTTGGCACTCACCTGCAGATTTCAATACTGTTGACCAAGGTTCCCTCTAAGCTACACAGCAGTACAGCTGTTTAATGAGCTTCACCAAGACAGGGGCTCAGAGCTCCACGCACGGAGATGTCTATCTGGGGGAGGGGCACTTCTCCCTTACCTATGGCAGCAGCTCCCAAGTCTCTTTCAGGTGGTAGGGGTAGGGGAGGGAAGATCACAAATAAAAAACCCCAAAAGCTGACAGATGACAACTTATTTTGCACAATTATTTTCACAACCACATTTTGAATTATTTCTTCTTAAATGATAGTACTTCAAGCTCTAGTATAATAATAACCAGAATGTTTTACTAAATCTTCTAAATTTTATTTTTTGCTATATGAGATCACTTTTTTATTACTGTTATTCACTCTTTGCTGGCAAGTGGAAAATAAATGTCCAGGTTTTTATGGAAACACTGAAGCACACAAGGTAGGAAACAATTATAAATAATTGTTATAAATAGTCAGGCCCACTAATGGGCAGAGAGCAAAGTGTGCAATTACTTTGGGGCCTTGTGATTCAAAGGAGTTTGGGTTCCCAGCTGTAGCCCTGGGTTCTTTGAATTGCCGCTGGAGTGCCACATGGAATGCTCCAGGGGGCTTACAGGGCTGCCATGAAGATGGGGGAGAGAAGAGAATGTGTCGAAGTCTGGACAGTGCTACGGGCTCGCCATCCCTGCCCCAACTCTTCTGCCTGAGGCCCCACCCCTTGCCTGGGAGCTCGCGGAAGCAGACAACTCCCCTGCAAATAGTCAACTAGGAAAGTAACATTTATACCTTGTGATCATCTGCCATTTTCTTTCCAGCCCACATTTCCTTCACCATCAAGTGCCAAAGATCACATTCTGTCTTAAGGTTAGCTTCAAAGACTTCCTTTTTGGACACAGATTTAATCCTCAGAGTAGGTATTCTCAGAAGAAGGAAAGCTACAGTAGTACTTTTAACATCCTATAAATGCAGAGAAACAAAGAAACCGAGAAAGCAGTAAAGCACAGTCAGAGATCTGGTGCAGTATTCATTAGGCATAGTCTAATATTTCTAGCCCAAACTAATTATCTTGTTGTGAGGCACGGTCACCATTCAGCATTTATGAGAAATAAATGTTCAAATTTATGTTCAGATATATTGCTAAACAGGGGGTCACCTAAGACTACTTCTGATTGTACAAAATGTGCTAATTATACAGTTAACCCCATATGTTCTCACTCCCTATCCCCAATTTGTATTTTCATACACTTGTTTCATTTCATAAATCCAAACTGTAAAGTTCTTTGGGTGACTGTTCTAGAGGTCTGAACAGAACCTAGCCTTATTGGGCTCTGATCTATTAGCAGTGCCAATCAGCCCTGAAAAATACCTCAGCCTTTGGTTCTAGCCATGATTTTTAGATACATTTCGCTACAATCATAGGTCTTTCTCTTGTATAACATTCTTGAAATGTCTCAGTTTGTGAAAGACTCTCTGCTACTGCAATGGAATCTGGTATATTCTTGCTCACAATCACATAACACATCTTAAGAACAAATTATTTCATGCTCACCTCTATATTCCTAAAAGTTGTGATCTCAACATAGCCATGTCTTCCTTCAGTCAAAAGGAACAAGCGCTTCTGGGTCATTGCTATTTTTCCTACTCCATAATTAGTTTTAACTGAACAGGATAATTTGTAGACACATTCATTTGTATCTAAATGCTCTAGTACAGTTCGTGGCAGATTAACCTCTTGAGCTTCTGCTTCTGTTTCCTTCCAGTAGTTGTAGAAATCTTTGAATGTTTCAGGGTCAATTTGTTTCTGGTGTCCTTAAAAGTTTTTAAAAATTATTTATTATTTGAAGCTATTATATGAATTTAAAATAAAATATATTTTGAGAACAGAAGAATGGTCATACTGGGTCAACAAATGTCCATCTTTCCCAGTATCCTGTCTTCTGACAGTGCCAATGTCACATGTCCCAGAGGGAATTAACAGAACAGGTAATCATCAAGTGACCCCTCTCCTGTCATCCATGCCGATCCTCTGACATACGGAGATTAGGGACATCATTCCTACCTATCCTGGATAATAAGCATTGACGGACCAATCCCCCATTAATGTATCTAGTTCTTTTTTGAACCCTGTTAAAGTCATGGTCTTCACAGCATCCTCTGGCATAGAGTTCCACAGGCTAACTATGCATTGTGTGAAGAAATATACTGACGGCTAGACTGTGCCAAACCCTGAGTAAAGGCTGCCATGTAAACAATCAAGAGTAACCCCAGAAGACATTTCAAAGTCAGAATTCCTCTCCAGTTTTCTCCATCTTACTGGGAGGAGTACTTTGCTGCTAGCTTACACCGTGGGCCTCCATCCATTTGATATTCTCCCCACCTGCTCCGGTGAAGGAGTAAACAACTGCACAGCCTCTCTTATTCCACACGCCCAAGCAGCCCACAGAAAAGAATTCTTACTCCTCTGCTAGATTGGATACTCTTTATTAGAATTTTCTAGCCCTTTAGTCTTATGAACATTACTAAATCATGTATGTGCTGGATAGTGGATAAGAACAGTAGTGACAATAATAATCATTAACCTGCAGAGGAAAAGTTTATAAGCCATATACATTCCAAGAATTCTTTAAGACTGTGGTTTCATAAATATGGCTGCTTCTGGACTCCCGATATTCCAACTCAAACAGATAATTATTAATTGTATGCCACATACTGTTTTAAAGTATAGAAATTCTTGCTATTTTGGTCAACGTTTAATAACAGTGACCAGAAAGTGAGACAACTTTCCTGGTTATTGTACATGGCAAATTTCAAATGGTGTGGCCGTTACTACTTATACGTAGAGAAGCAGAGCACAAGAGTCATGTTTCAGATTTAGGAGGTAAAGAAATTATCCTGGAAACATTCTAAACTATGCTTTTACAATCTATCATACTTATTCGGGCTCTACTGGTAGCTTTATGAAAAAATTAGCACTCGCTATTCAAGTTCCAGGCCTTTTTTGAACAGATTGCAAATAAAATAGATATAGCCCTATCCTGATCCTCAGCAGATAACGTCCTTATAATAAAGCCATTAAACTGTATCACAAGATTAGCAATCTAAATCAAGATAGAGCTGGCATGCCATTGGACAATTAAATGGTAATGCAAAAACTGCCAATCCTTCCTCCTCCCGGACAACTGCAAAACAGGCTTGCAAGCACTTGTGCAGACACCCTTTAGCATCACATGTAGAGTGAGTCCAATGTACTGCATTAAGTAAGTTTTCCTGTAATTATTGCAATTAAGAATTGCCAATAAGATGGAGTTTCAGTTTTAGTGGAACTGTTAAATTCACAACCAAAATGATGAGGATGTAGCACAAAGGCCCCAATTCAGCAAAGTACACAAGCATGTACTTAACTTTAAGTATATGAACAGCATCATTTATTACTTTGGCGAGTTTGGTTCTACATGCATCAGGGTATGTCTACACTACCAGCCTAGTTCGAACTAGGGTGGTTAATGTAGTCATACAAACTTGCAAATGAAGCCCGGGATTTGAATTTCCCGGGCTTCATTTGCATGTTGCTGGGCGCCGCCATTTTTAAATGTCCGCTAGTGCGGACTCCGTGCCCGCGGCTACACGCAGCACGAACTAGATAGTTCGGATTAGGCTTCCTATTCCGAACTATCTGTACACCTCGTTCCACGAGGGCGGCGCCCGGCAACATGCAAATGAAGCCCGGGAAATTCAAATCCCGGGCTTCATTTGCAAGTTCGTATGACTACATTAACCACCCTAGTTCGAACTAGGCTGGTAGTGTAGACATACCCTAACTGAGTTATCAGTGTTCACATAAAATGCAATGGAAATTACAGCCTGTGGCAACAGTAGTTGTGTGCTTGCAATTACAAAAATTACAAAAACATGTTACTATGAATTTAAAAAGTTCTATGCTAACTGGAGACACACATGTGAATTTGGCACATGAGTGCATGCACACACATATTCATGTCCTGAGAAATGTTTGACAACATTTTCCTGAAGGTCAAAAAGAGGGGAAAAAATCTTTAAGTGCAACGTGCATCAGATATCCATAAAAATATGAAAAATTATTTACATACCAATATTATTCATTACCACAACATACTTTCTGCTTACCTACTGTTAAGGCATCAAAAAGCCGATGTATTGTGTCTATATCTTTGACAATCCCAGATTCTTGGATTCGCTTGACAAAATCATCCAAATGCATGTGCGTTTTTGGTAACTCAAAATTTTTGACATGGTCATCTACTTTTGTAACTTCTCTTTGTGTCTCCATCACTTGACTAATCAACCTCTTCAGCTCCGGCTTGCGCTCTGCTAGCGAACGTTCAGAAGGAGGTAGGCTTTCCACCATCTTCCGCACAAGATCAGTAGGGAAAATTCTTATGTCTGTTTTATATAGATTTTGAAAATCTGAAAGAGCATCCAGTAGTTTTCCTTGCATAACACCAATGAGTCCACGAAGGTAGAAATATCTCGCCAGCAATGCGGAGTTATCATGTTGTAAGATATTTATTGCTCTGGTGAGATGATTGATAAAATCTGTGTAGTAGGCATGAACACACTGACTCATAAGAGGAAAGTGAATTTCTGGGATCCTGAATGTACTAATTGATCTGGAGGTCAGTTTCACAACTTAAAAAAGAAAGAAGTAAAATGTAAAAGCAAAGAATAAAAGCATACAATCACCTTCAAACCAGAAATACTTAAAAAAAAAACACAACACTTTTCCTACATATCCTAAACTGTGCCCTATGTCCCCAGTAAGCCATTAAGTATGCCTGTGTACGAAATAAAATTGTTCACCATACACTTCTTGATGTCACCATAGACACTGATTCAGTAGTCCATCCCAATTCAACAAAACATTTAAGCACATGCTTTACTTCTGATACATGTTTAAATCCCATTGACTTGGCTAGGCAGAAATGAGCCTAAGCATGTACTAAATGTATTTTAGGTGGGAAAAGGATAAACAGGGACAGGAACTGGCTCAGGAAGCAGCGCCACACTGCAAATACTACAGTAGGTGTTAGCCCCTTGTGGCAGTTGCAGAATATCACAATTCTGAGTAGCCCTCAGTGTGATTTATCTCAGTGCATGGTCAGGCACTCACCAAGCAGCCAGAAGCTGAGGATGATGCACGTCACTACTTCATGCCTCCTGACCTTTGCTGTGTTTATGTGGTCAGTGTGATGATGTTCAGAACTGAAGGAGTCTGTCTAGCCAAGCTGTGGGCCAAAGATGTTTTTGAACAGACCCCCAAATATTTTTTTACTTACTAGCACTATTGTTATTTTTTATTAATATTTTTTTCTGGAATCTGGGCTTTGACTACACTTTGACCAATAAGTTTGGACTTTGACAAAAAATAATTGACTACCCCCAATTTACACTAGCAAAATTGTGGTAAGTCTTGTACTAAGTGTGCCTTATGTGGTATCACTGGAAAAGTGATAATCTGATTAATGTTATCTTGTTATAATGAGTATATCTACATTGTGAGCGAGGGGTTATGAAATGTTGATATATGTTTGTAACTCAAATATGTGGGTGTGGAAAATGGCCACAGGTTAGCTTTTTAGAAATAAAGGAGCTGTATACAAGGACACCTGAATGTTGTCCCTAAAGATACCTCATAGGGCAGACTGGCAAAGGTGCAAGCTAGAACCTGAAATTCAGACAAAGGATGGATCACGCAACACAGATGGGATTTTTTCCAGCAAAAAAAGTCAAGACATAAAACAGAAGCGAGCAAAATACAGCCTGCGCTCTGGTTCCAGCCTGCCAAACTGCCGGATTCAGCCCCCCACAGTCCTGCGGTCCAATGGGAGCCTCAAAAGCAGGCTCGGTAGCTGCTGTGCCCCCCCCCCCCACACACCACTCAAAGCAGCCAGCTACTGGGGCCATATGCTCTCTGTGCATCTCATGCCTGAGGGACGGGACACGCTTCATGCACTGCCCCTGCCCGCAGCACAATCTAACAGCTCCCACTGGTTGGAAACCAACCAATGGGAGCTGCCTGGGCCATGCCTGTGATACATGGCCCCTGTACAAAGTGGAGGAGTGGGAAGCAAGGAGCCTGCCCGTGGCTGCCAGCCACATAAGGTAAGTGCCTCCCAGCAAGCACCTGCATCTGGCACCCTACTCCCTCCTGCACTCCAACGCCCTGCCCCTCCTTCACCTCTGTCCCAGGTCACAATCTCCTCCCAGACCCAGCACCCCTACAACATACATCCTTCCTCCAGGTCAGAATCCTCTCCTGTACCCATATACCCTCCCAGGCCCTGCACCTCCTCCTGCACCCTAATCCCTTGCTTCAGGTCACAACCCCCTCCTGCAGTAGGTTATAACCCAAACCCATGCACCTCCTCCTGCCCCCCTGCCTTAGGTCACAACCCCTTCCTAGACTCTGCACCTCCCACACTCCTCTTCTAGGTCTGAGTCGTCTCCTGCACCCCAAATCACAACCCCCTCCTTCACCCAAACTCCCTCCCAGAACCCACACCCCTTCTTGCTCTCTAATCCCATACCCTGAGCACCCTTTTGCACTCAACCTCCATCCCAAAGCCGCACTTCATCCATTAATATCATGGAAGAGCGCAGCCCTCAACCACTTTTCAAATTCTTGAAGTAGACCCCTCCATCAGAAATTATGGCCCCTCCTCTGATATAAAAGGAGTGAACTTAAGTCCCTAGCCTCCTCTCTCCTACCACATCTCTGGACTGATAAATTTTAACAAGGTGATATTTTGAGCATAAGGACTGATGTCCACAATCTACTTGGGCAACCCAGAGAGAGACTTACAGAAATATATCAGATTTAACATCCCTCCTATTATTTTGGATGATATGCTCCCATCCAACTATAATGTATTTTACCGACTTTAAATATTTAATAACTCATTTCTTTTTCTTAGTTAATATATCGTTAGTTAGTTTAATAAGGATTGTCTACAGTGTTGGGTTTTTTGTGTATGACTGGAAGTATCCATTGACCTGGGTCCCCCGAAATTGTACAAACCTAAAGCATGGTGAATTGATTTAAATAACCTTTAACCATAAAAAAAAAAAACTTTAAAAACAATGAACGGTCCTCTAGCTCCTTAGAGACTAACCAAAAATATAGATAGATGATTTAGTTACAGACTAACACAGCTACCCTTCTGAGACTTTCATCATCAAATCAGTTTGAGTGATAATATAGGCTGGAGTGTCTATGGTGACTATTTATGGCTCTAAGGCTGGGGTGGGCAAAAGGGCCTCCGCGGGCCAGATTCAGCCCACTGAGTGGGTTGATCTGGCCCATGGAGGCCCTGCCGCTCCCCTGCCCCCAGGCAAACTGGGGTCTGGGGGCAGGTGAGCGCACAAAGCTTCCTCCCGCCCTGTGAGCAGCACGCAGCGCTTTGAAGTGACACGCGCTGCTTGCAGGGCGGGAAGAGACGTCACGCGCTCCCCACCCCCAAGCCCTGACTGGCCTGGGGACAGGAGCCGCTTGCGAAGTTTTCTCCGCCCTCACCTCGCCATGTGAGGAGCGCATGGCACATTAAAGTGCCGTATACTCACAGGGCAGGAGCTGGGCGAGGGAAGCTGGGTGAAGTTTCCTTCAGAGCCTGGGGGCAGGGAAGCTGCGTGAAGCTTCCTTCGCCCTGTCCCGGCCCTGCAAGGAGTGTATGGTACTTCAAAGTGCCATGCGCTGCTCGCAGGGTGGGAGGAGGCTTCCCGCGCTTCCCCCGCTTCCAAGTTCTGATTGGCCTGGGGGTGGGGAGAGCTGTGCCAAGCTTCCCTCGCCCAGCTCCCGCCCTGCATGGGGGAGCCAGATGGAAACTTTGCACACTACTCCTGCCACCAGGCCAATCAGGACCTGGGGGCAGAGGAGTGTGTGAAGCCTCCTCCCACCCTGCCAGGGGCATGGGTGCCTAGTGGGAAGGGGGGGCAAAGGGGCTCCCTCACCCCCTGACCAATTATGGTCTGGAAGCGGGGAAGCCCAGAAGCATTCTGGCGCCGCCCTTTCCGGCCCGGCACCACTTCAAAAATTTTTGAAGTGTCCACTGGCCAAAAATTATTACCTTACACGGGGTAAGGTAAAACCAGTATATAGCACTTCAGGAATCCACATTCATTGCTTTGGTGAAATCTAATTATAGGACATACTACCAGTGTGTGTGTGCCTGCCCTGATTTCTGACAATCTGACCAGAAATTAAACAATGAGAAGACCTGTGGCACCTCATAGATTAACAGATTAATTGGAACATAAGCTTTCGTGGGTGAAGTCCCACTTCATCAGATGCATGACCAGAAATTGGCACTCTCAACTGTGAGCCATACCAGGGACCAGGACAATGAACACCCAAGTATCTGGTCCACGATGCCATAAGATGCAAATTTTTCCTTACCACGTTCTGTCTCTGATCTTCGGAGTGATGAAGGCCTAGCAGGACTATCGTAAGACTTAATATCTTGTAGATTAGGCATACTTATTACCATACGTTTACTAATCATATACTGAGGATTAAATCTTTTAGAAGCCATTTTCTCCGCAGTCAGTCTTCTTGGGCTATCAAGCATTGAATTTAATCTGAAGAAAACAATTTTAATTATATTTTAGATATGTTTATACATATTTACATATATTTTGCATATATTATACATCAGTATCAACAGAGAGAACAAATGTTTATTATTGTTGTTCTTTCTATATTACAGTAACACCTACCAACTCACTCTAGCTATGACCAATTTACAGCAGGACCTTTTGCAGTAAAGATGGGTCATCAATTACCTCTAAACTCATTTATACATAGGACATGATCCCACATTACTAACATTCTAAGAAATATCTGACATTGTCTTCAATGGAAGTAAAATCAAGCTTGGGGTAAACTATACTGAGAAAATGTTACCTATCTTCTTCAGACTGAGTGCTCAACTCAAGTTGGGCAAAGGCATCCATCCTTCTGTTCAAACGAGCTTTAAGAAAAGAGTGAAATATATAGGTCTCTAATACCTGCAATACACAACAGCAAATTGATATTACTGATCACAGAAGTATACATTTTTTATTAACAGCTTTCATCTACTTTTACTGACCTAACAGAAATAAATGCAAAAGCCCATAGGAATGCAAAGTTAAGGTTTCACAATTTAAATAAAATCAACCTCTGTACACATCAGTATAATTTTATGGTATACATTTTAATGGCAGACAGTAATATACTAAACTACAAATTTAATAATAAAAACAAACTAAATTTTATATTTTCTGATATTTTTATTGTAACTCTACAACTTTAACTTTCTTCATGATGTGGAAAAAAGGGCTCCTCACAGCTCCATGTTAAAATTCATCACTAAACTGAAGAGAGAAATTTGGG